ATCATGTTGAAATATAATATCTTTAGGAGCTAAATGATAATATCTTAATGAATACATTAATTCTTCTTTCAAAATTTATCTATAAAGCTCTGCATTAAGATTTTCTTTAATTCTAGATAAATATCCTGTACTATAATAAGTAAAACATCTCCATATATTAATGCTATCTTTATTAAATTTAGTTATAGGAATTATATGTTGATTCTTTAAAGGTTCTATAGATTTTCTCCAGCAATATTTATGTTCTTCAGCTCCAAAAAGTTGAAATTTAGTTTTATCAGACCAAACTACCATACTTCAATCTTTTATGATCCATTTTTATGTAATTTTGCAAATTCTAATCAGATTTTTTTATGTGTTTTACTTAAAAAAGGTTTCTTGCACCGTGTATATGCTTTAAATCCATTTTTCTTAAGAATTCTTCGAATTATGTTGACACTAATATTTATTTTTTCATATTTTAGTAAGGATCTACATATATCCATGGCAGTTTTACATTTTTATATTAGAATTTTTTGAATGACAATACATTCTTCACATAAAGCAAGTTTAGGTGGATGACCAGGAATAGGTTTATTTTCTAATTTGTTTGTTTCAAGATTTTTTTTTTTTAAGTATAGATATAGTGGAATAATGAACATTGTTATCAATTTTGGCAGCAACTTGACGTAAACTATAACCTTCTTCTAATAAGGTAATAGCCTTTACCCTTTTCTCTATAGATAACTGTTTTGAAAACATTTGATTTATACAAGGTTTGAATAAATTTTCACATTTTTATATTTTTACAAAAAAATGCCAAAAGTCACGCAACAGTAAATTTTTATTAATTGCATCATAAAAAATTTTTTTATTATTTTAATCACTAATCTAATGTATACACCAAATAGATTAGATTATACACTGTATATACTATAAATTTCATCATGATTTGATCTGATCTGATCAAAATTTTAACACTTAAAGATCGACGATCAGGTGTTACGTTCTTTTTGGGAGACGGTGTACAGTATATTCCGTAAATTCCGGAGTAGGTTTCCATGATTTTTTCTGAAGAACTCCTTCAAGCCAAGAAATCTGATCCTTATTCAAGGACTTTTTAACCTGTTCGTATATTTTGTCATCTGATAAATCTACAATATTGTTGAGACATATTGATGACAAAAAATCTTTCCCGATCTCTTTATCATTTCCTTGACACGCGGTAAGAATTTTGAGCAATTTGTTACGGATGTTCACTTCATCCTAGAAAATTAAGCATAGTTATTATCAGTTATATAAACATTAAAAGATTGCAAATAAATACCTGCGTAAGCATCTCAATTTCTTCTTCACACTTATCTCCATTAATAAATTCGGCGTCACTGTCAAAGTCAACATCATCATCATATTCATCCTCACATACTTCATTTTCATCATCCTGCGCATCTTAATATTCTGTAAAAAATATTAGTTATAATTATTGTTCAGATCAGACCCTTGATCCCAATAGTGGTATACCTTGATTTTGCTAAGTCTTTATTTTTCGTTTACGAGATTTCGGAATAGAAGGCAATGATTGTTTCTTCTGAATACTATCACTTTTTTTTAATGCAGATAACTCAAGATCAAACATTCCACCGCTGATAGTTCCAGTTTTATCATCGATAGTCGCAATATTTCCTGAGATTTCTGAGAACGTCGAGTTGTGAATATTAACCGAGGGACCAGAACTTATTTGCGATTCACGTTCATTTTTCCAACTTATTTGCGATTCACGTTCATTTTTCCAACTCATAGCACGTTTGCGGTCATTTCGAAAACCCTAGCATTAAAGTAATTAGCAATTTTCTGGTATATATATAATTCAATTTATTTTCCAATTTTCATCCCACTAAGTCAGCGAGAAGCTTTGAACACAGACAACCAAGAAGGTCTCCTGTGCCTTGTGGGACCAATGCTGGGTCAGCAAAAAGCTTTGAACATCAGACAACCGAGAAGGTCACCTGTGCCCCAACATTGGTTTTGTGGCTCAGCGAAAAGCTTTGAATGGCAAAAACCGAGAAGGTTCTTGTCACACCACTTAATTTACAGTTATAATTTAATATTAACTACTTGCCTTTTTATATTTATTAAGTAGTGCCATCGCCTTTTCTTTTCTCTTGCCCTTTTCGTCGTCAGAAATGTTCTTGAGGCTTTTAATATACCGATCTATTTTTTGTTCGAAAGATCCTTGCTCGCACTTATTAAGAAAGTCAACAATATCTCAGTCACAGGGTTTACGATTGAAGTATCTACTTGTCGACATAGAGCTGAAAGAATTATTATTGTTTTCAACAAGCGTGTTTACAATCACGTATCGAAATAAAACGCAATTAGTAATGTCACACGACAAAATCGTGACCATAAGAGCTATAAACGGAATTTGCTATATTAAGAAATGTTTTATGAATTTCTTGTCACAAGGGCGCAGTAATGTGGCGCAGTATATTACGGCCCGTCGTCAAAAAATAAAATGATCGACGAAAAAAACGACTATTTAGGCCGATTGCTTTATTTATACAATAAAAAATACATGTAAAGCGGGGACTAACCCTACGACTATACTGATTACCTGTTTTATATCTTCCCTCAGAATTTCCTGATTTCCCTTAAGCGCTTTTTTCGCAAGATTTATTTGATATCCAATATTCGTAGGCAAGTATTGGATAAAAAAATCCAGATTTCTCTTTACCAGTTACTGGAAATAATAAAACCTGAGGTTGGTCAAGAACTTAAAAACTCGATAGCAAACCCGGATATTCCTCAAAGAAATCATGCACCATGCAAAGCTAGAAAAAAACCAATTTTTAATGATACCGCATCTGAGTCCTCGTCCTCGTCTTCATCTGAATCTGCATCTGAGTCTGACTCTGGATCGTCTAATAATGATAAAGATTTTACTGTGGATATGGTACAAGTGAAGAAGCATGATTATTCTTGATCATAGATTCGGAAAGGTTTTGCTTGATCTGGGGACTGACCTTTTTTTCTGTAATTCACTACAACATAATTCTGAACCGGAGAAGTGTAGTTATTAGGGTTGTGGCGTAAACACTCTCCAGCTATTCTCATAAAATGTGCTAGGCTAGACTCTTAACATGTACTACAGCGCCATAAACTGCTCCTAATTTACGTAAGTGTTTAGGAATTAAATAATAAATAGTCTTTTAAGAACCTGTTGAACCATTTAGTTCCAGGTTTACCTGGATTGCCCATCCGACCAGAAGAAATAGAATTCTGTATCCAGGTTAGTAATTCTTTGACTCGTTCTTGGTTCTTCTCCATAGATCTAAATTTTCGAGGGACGTCTGGTTGTCCCCTGTTCTTTGCGTAGCCTGTCACTCCAGCATCTGTAATGCGTAAAGTTATAAGTTCAGCAGGACGTATACAAAGCATTATTGTAACATCCGCTAGAGCCTGATAATCTGGCAGAGTTTTTAAATCGTACGCATCTAACCTTTCTTTGACCGATTCCAACGTAAAAATGATCCGGATAATTAATAGGATTGGTTTTAGCTTCTTCTGTAATATCTGGAAATTTTGTAGCTTCAATTATTGTAGGTGAAACACCAAGGTTTCTTAATTCTCTTCTGAGTTGAGAAAGACGTGATGAATTAGCATTAGCATTTTTTGCTGATAGGGCTAAGGCATAAGCTTCAGCTCTGATATCTCTAATGCTAAGTTTATCCCATAAAAACCGTTGTGCCATATCTTCGATGCTTTCTTCCTTTAATCGTTTTGGAGGTTTGTTAGAAATCGCGATATTTATGGTCTTATTTTCATTTTTCTGAATAGAGAATAAGTTATCCACTTGTCCCTCACTAAACCCATATCTATTTTGCAAAATTCGTTTTGCTTTCTCTCTGATGATCTCTTCTTCCGAACTTTTTGGGGGCTTGGTTACAACTATTCGACAATTACCCTCAACCAAATTTATGGTTTTATTTTTTCCGCTTCTCTGATTAGGTATTAATATAATTACCTGATCATCATTAAATTTAAAACCGTCTCGAAGGCGTCTGCATGCCTGATTCCGCTTTCTATCATCAGTTAGATTCTCGAGAAACTCTGAGGTGTATTGACTGAGATCGGTCGCACTCATTTCGGGGTTGAGATTGTATTTTTCTACGATTTTAGTTGCAATGGCTGACATGATTGAATGTTATAATAGGTCAAGTAGTTTATGAACAATTCTTTAGGTTATATACACTATAAAAAATATTTTTTTCAAATAGAAATTAATTATCTCGGATCAATATATCTAGTATTTACCTAAAAAATTGAATGAGTCTCGGTTATTGTAATTCTATCAGAAAATGGACGCGAACAAGACACGGAATAGATCGAAGGTTTTAGAATCCATAGCTTTGCGTAATAAAATCACTAAAAATATCAATGGGATCAAGGAAGATATAGCATTACTTAGAGAGGTTCTGGAAAAAATAATCAATATACACGTATGCCAGGTATATGATAGACGTCAATATCTTGGGATTGATCTGCCGATTTGAAATATACCGTACATAGAATATAATGAAAAAAAAATTATAGCTATATTAAGGTTTACGATTTATTTTTATTTTTTATGTGTCAAAGACACTAGCATCGTTATAATGCTTGGAATAGATTCCGGTATTTTTCTATACTTATGGACCATTTCTTGTAAATATCAAGTCTATTTTTTATTATATAAATCGGTGGTATCATAGCTGGATGGGACAGAGCGTTCATGAATCTAATTTGCTCAGGATAATAATAATCCATAATATCTGGTAATTGTAGAAATTTGGCTAAATCTTTTACGTACCTAAAACCATTGGCATTAGTTTGCGGAACGTTGGCCCATTGTGATCAATCTCTCTTTTGGTTAATAAGTTGACTACTTTCTGGGGTGTTTCCATTAGGAGTTACTAGTTATGAAAATGATAATAGTTGATTGTTACTTATGAAAATGATAATAGTTGATTGTTACTTATGAAAATGATAAGTTTAATTGGTTGTTTTTCAAAGACCTATAGGAAAAAAAATAAATGATAATACTTACGTATCTAGTAAATTGCTTCGCTTATATAGAAATTAAGCACGCAGAGTTTCTCTTACACACTTCTGTTTATAATATTTATACGCTCTTTCTCTACCTTGACCACACGGGACACAAAGCTGGAGACTCGATTTAGTCTCTCGTCCACATCCTTTACATGGTTGAGGAATTATTACACCCTTTCGAATTTTGAATGCATGGGAAGCGCAATATTGCCCCTTTGCTGGGTTTTTACATAAATTGACGTCTCCAACTAATAACCAATTGCAAGGCATTTTATATGTCTTGACACTAGCTCCGCTATTATTCTATATTCACTTTCATATTTAAAATCAAAGTTGAGGATAGAGAATTAACTAAAGTCTTACCAAATATCATTTTTAGGCATCACAAAAACTAGTATATATAACAGAGTTTACGTAATATTTTTTTTTATCTGAAAATTTTATATTAACTAGTTTGTAGGGCGAAGCCCATTGCTTTGCAATAGGAGCAAAAAATCCCCTACCTGCGAAATTCACCTATTCACTCCTTATCGACTAGCAATTACCATAACATACCATTTTCCTGGAGTATGTTAACCGTTTTTTCCAGTCCTCGTCAGTATCAAGCCACGATGAGATAATTCCTTCTTCCTCGAGAGAATGGCGGATTATTTCTTCACTTATTAATCTTTCTCGCACTGTCATATCCATATATTCACCGGGATCTTCTTCAGCCTCCTTTGCATAACCACACATTCTCGCATCAGTCTGCATTCTATCACGGAATGCTATGGAATCGAGTTTATCTTTTTCAGTTATGGTAACGAATTTATCGGGATCCTCGCCAAGCTCAATAGCTTTTTGACGTAGACGAACCTCTCGTTGCTCCTGGGTTAAATAGCCAGATGGATATGTTTTCGATTGGGTGTTGACTTCTTCATTGCTGGGTTTGGGTTCGTTATCCGCAGATAATTCGGGAGATATCTCGGGCTCATCCTTCACCGATTTGATAATTTCTGGAGATTTAGAGCAGAGCTCGTTGTCTATGACAACAGGTTTATTGTCTATTGATTCTACATGTTCGATCTCCGAAGCTATAGATACTGTATATCGGTAGACTTAGATGATGAAGCAACTGAACTTTCATTTGTTATAGGATCGAAGAAATCCTGGGTCAGTTAGTGATGGATGGAGCGGGTGATGAATCCTTACCTTTTTCAATGTAATCAGTGGTTAATGGTTCTGCTATCTTTTTTTCTGATTCGGATTTAACAATTTCAGGTACGTCGAATATAGGGATATCTGTAAAGATGGGTCCCTAAAGGGGGAGGCAAGGACAAAAGTCAAATGTCCCTCACTAGGAAACATTAAAATTTTTAAATTAATAACTATAAAAAAACTATTCACAATTGTTCTCTATTATCCAAATCATTGATTTAAAGTATAACATTTCCTGACTTTTGTCCCTATTAAAGTGAAGAGCTATGAATTTTGTCCCTCAAAAAGGGACATAAGTGATCTGCAAAATTTTATATGTTAAATATTTTAGGGACCCATCATTAGATATCTGTGGATGTGTTGGTGGGTATCTCAGTTGAGGTATGTCTGAAAATTCTTCAACATGATACCCTTTTCACATAGTTTGCTTATGATTTTAGATCGATCGAGAATGTATTGATATACTCTTACTCTACCATCGCAAGAACGTGTACAATCAATATCTATTTGCGA